TGAGGGGTGGAAGGAAACAGTTCTCCACGCAGAGGAGGAGACTGCGGTCAGCAAACCTCCCGCTCCTCAGCCTCCACCCGCCCGTGGGGTGGTGCTTTCCCCGGGGTTTCCGCGACAGGCCGGGCTCCCGGGCACCACACTCCCTGGAACCCCTAGAGTTGTCACTACGTAAATCCCCTGATAGAGGCGCGCATCCGGGGGAGCACTGGCCTTTAGGGACCGGCCAGGGACACCGAGAGGATCTGGGCAGCCCGGGTGCACGCGTCTCTGGTGATGGCCAGTGTCTTCCAGGCTTGGGAACCGGAGCTCAGAGCACCCCGCGCGCCTCGGTCTGGCCCGTTCCCGAGGCCAGGAGCCTCGGTCTGGAGCAGGTGGTCTCTGGAGGGGCTTGGACTGGGCTCGGGGCCGCCGCGCGCCTCACCTGAGCGGGACGAGGATGGCCAGGTACCTGTCGACGGCCACGGCCAAGAGGCTGAAGATGGAGCTCTGCGTGAGCACGAGCACGAAACAGGCGAGGAAGAGGCAGCCGTGGAAGTCCGTGCAGAAGCCCAGGCTGATGGTGATGGCAAAAGGGATGGCGAACAGCCCCACGGCCACGTCGGCCGCCGCCAGGGACACCAGGAAGTAGTTGGTGGGCGTCTGCAGCGCGCTCGACATGCCCACCGCGGCGCACACCAGCACGTTGCCCGCCACCGACAGCGAGGCGATGGCCAGCTCGAGCGCCACGTACAGCGCGTCCTGCGCCTCCAGCGGCATGGCCGGCGGCGTCGCCTACCCCGGCCGCGCCGAGCGCCGGCCAGCCGCGTGGGCCCCGCGGGGCATGGCCGCAGCGCCGGTGCCGCGCGTTCGCCCGCCGCGTCTGACCCGCCAGGCTCCGGCGCTCGCCGCCCGGACCCAGAGGGCGGGACCACGGAGGGGCGGTGACGCCCATTCGCCGGGGTGCCCGCCCGTCCCGGGCTCCGACGGAGCACCGCCCCTTCCCCCGAACCGAGGTCGGCGCCCACGCTGCGCCGCGGCGGTCTCCGCAACGGTCCCGCGGTGACAATATCTGGTCACGTCGAGTTCCCCAATTTTCCCTAATGCTGCAAGTCGGTGAGTGTCCCGAGCTGTCGCAGTCATCAAACAGAGCTCGCGGAGCCGGGCTGCTCCGGATTGAGCCCGGACTCTGCCCGGAGCGCCGCCGGTCCGCGCCCGCCCGCCGCCAGAGGAGCGCCGGGCCAGCACCCCGCGCCGGGCGGGCGTGCGGAGGACCCGGAGCCTCTGGAGCCTCCCACCCGCACCCTGCGGACCCCGCCGGACAAGCAGGGCTCGCCTTGCTAACCGGATGAGGTGCCGCGGGGAGGGGACGGAAGTGCCCGAACTCGCAGGCAGCTAAGGGACCCCGCTCGGCACCCGACGGCGAGGATGGCTCCGCGAGGCTGCAGCTGGGCGCCAGCCTCCCCCGCCTCCGCTCCTCCGCCCTCCCAGCCACTGCCCAGACGCCTCCAGCTCTGCTTCTCCTAGCTGGTGACATGGTCCACATCCTTCCTTCCTCGTCCCCCCCGCCCGCCCCCAAAGCGCCAGTGTTCTTCAGGCACCCTCTTTGTCCTTCACGCCCACCCTAGGATCCCAAAGCCTCACACGTGGCCCTTACACCCTTAACTCCCAAATTTCCCCCTGTAGCCCTGAGCGCCTCCTGGGTGCCAGACCGGAGCATACCACTGCCCATAACCTTTGGACTCCTCCAGAAGAAGCTGAGGCCCCCAAATCCAACATGTCCAAAATCAAGCTCATTTCTCCTCCCAACCTGTGTGCTCTCCTCCTTCTGAGACTCAGTTATTGACCTTACTTCCCACCCCAACACACCCCAGGAAGTGTGCTGACACCCTCCTCATTGCGTCCTCGCTGATATTCCCATCAGTAGTAGTGCTGCCAACTGTGCTCCCAAAGTCCCGCCCCAGGTGGGTCCTTCCTCCAAGTCAGTTCCCATCACCCCTGCAGCTCTCCCTGTCGCACTCACTGCTCCGTCAAACCTTCCTGGTCCCCACCAACACCATCGTTCCAGAGCACCTGTCTGTGCCACTCCCCACCCAGAACCCTTTGCTAGAGTCACCAGGCAAGGTAGTTAAGAAGATTATCAAGCAACAGGAAAAGATGCCTGCAAAATAATGTTAAGCAAAAAGTAAAACACGGAAGTACTGCTAAAGGGTAGACGATTTTTTGGGGGGGTGACAAGAATATTCTAAATGTTGGTTGTACAGCTCTGTAATATACTAAAAAACGATGTAATTATACACTTTAAATAAGTGGATTGTATGCTACATGAATTATATCTCAGTCTAGCTGTAATAACAACCAGACCCCTCGGCCTCAACGGGCAGGAGCAGTAACGTCTGTGTAACAAGGGGGCAAAGACTCTACAAGCACTCACAGTGATGTCCTGGCTGGGCGAGGTTATTACAAGGGACTGTTTTCTCTACTTTCCATGTGTTGTTGTTTTTTTTACTTTTATAACAACAAAACTTGATTTTATGTTAAAATATTGGAGAGCCCACAAATTCCATGCTGAGTTCTGATATCATCTTCTCCACCACCCATGTTTCCATAACACTTGACACAAACTATTGTTACCACAATATGATAAACTGGAACCGCAAGATTGAGGGACTTGCCCAGGCACTTCTTTGGGGTTGGGGGAGGGTGAAAGAGTTACAGGAGGCTTCCTCCGGAGGTAATTTTTGCAGAGTGGGCAAGACTTGGCAGTGAGGAGGTATTCAGTAAGGAGCCATGCTGGGCGGAGGTGGGGCAAGGGACCTGCCCAGGGACAGCCATGCCCAGGAGAGTAGCGAAGGGAAGATGGTCTGCCCAGGGAAGCTTCCATCACTAGCATGGAGTGTTGAGTTGTTCTGCTGCCGGTGCTGGGCACCAGCCCCGGGAGGTCTCTGAGCAGGTGATGGTGGATCTGGCAGTAGTGGCTGGAGGTGGGCAGGGGGAGAGGAGGCGGCAGGATGGGAGCCAATGGGTTGTTGTGAGCACTGCCCACATAACCTACAGCCTCTAGGCCCTGGGCTCTGCTCCACCATTTTCTGTGCCTGGAATCCCCATTTCTCCTCCCTAGAGCCCATCTTCCGTGAGGAAAGCAAATCACCTGAGTAGAAAAGGTCCCCTACCCCAGACCCTGCAGGCCTGTGCCCTACCCCACCTGTGTCGCAGCCCGTTGAGTTCCACATGGTGTATTCACTTCTGGACACCTGCTGGCAGAGCCTCCCTCCTCTGCTTTCCCCAGCCCAGCCCCCTCCTGGCACAGTGCTCTTTTACTCCCACAACCACCCTCCCTCCCCAAGTTTATGTGAAATCTGTTGAGTTATCCTGACTCTATCAGTCCCCAGACTGGAACTCGCACTGAGTTAACTGGACTCACAGGAGCCGTGGAGGTGGCAGTGACGGCCATAGGCAGTCATTGTTGAGGAAACAAGAAGCAGCACGTGCTACTCCAAACTGACCATGAGCACAGGAAATGGCGTCCGGAGGGAGTCATGAGCTTTCAACTTGAAAGCAACTGAGGTGTAGTTGACAGAGCCCAGGTCTCAGGAACCGAGGACCCAGCTTTGATTTCTAACTCTGAGGTTGACTTTGGACCTCACCGCGCAAGGGTCAGGCTAAATGGGGCAGAGGAACCATCTGTCTTGTAACCCATGACAGTGATGGGGAGCATTTGGATGAATTAGGCTGGAGCCTTAGAAACCCGAGTGGTCTTTAATTGGTGAAAATGGAAGGGTACATTTTGTGAACCAACTGACCCTCTGTGGACCGCTTCCAGATGGCTGGCATCCACCCTCTCAGCTCCCACTGCTGCTCTACCTGCCTCAGTGGCCAGAGCAGAGTCCGGGTGCATCGATATGGCTCCACAGTAGGTACGGTACTCAGCAGCTGTCAAAGGCCCAGGCTCGCTCCGTGTTCTGGCTCTGCCATCTTCAATCCTAAGTGTACACCTCATGGTCACATAAAGGCTGCCACAGCTGCAGGCATCACTTGCTCAAGCAACCACAGTGAAAGCAGAAGGGGGCTGGCCACGACCATCATTTACCATGGGGCAAAGTCCTGGAGCACATGCTACTCCAAACTGACCATGAGCACGGGAAATGGCATTATGCCTGGCTCAGACCAAGCATGGTTCAAACCTTCGGGCAGAGGAAGAGGCCCACCTGCCCCAAATAGGTTGTCACCCGAGTAACTTGGGTTCTGTAAACAGGAAGGGAGGACAATGCACATTGCCTTCCACGGTCTGTGTGACTGTCGGAGGGAATTTTCAGCTCACAGACTGAGTGTCCCAGGCCTCGCTGGCTTGTACATAAACATGAGGCCTGTCAGAAACAACAGCCTACGTTTACTGGCTCTTACTTTGGCCTGACCTCAGTTATCCACAGATCCCACAGACATTTCTGGGAGTCTCCAGAGGGTGTCTTACTTTTCTCAGAATTTCTACTTATCTCTGACACCTAAGATTTACAATGGTTCCCTTTGGAACTATCTCTATTTTTCCTAAGGACGAGTCCAGTCGTAGGAGGTTCCTCAGCCTCTGGTCAGTGAAATTCTCTCAGGTGGGTCTTGCCAAGCGTCCAGCTACAGGTCTGCATCCCAGAGACAGACAGCAGGAAGCTAGAAGTCAAACCAAGCCCCTGTCGTTCACATGCACACCACCTGCTCCCCAAACGGACGCCTGAGGTTCCTGGACTAAAAGACTGGTATTTCTTCTGGACGATGTTTCCTAGGGCCCTTGAACAGTGTCCACAGAACAGTGAACACTTAGTTAATACTGTTGGTACATGTATTATTTCAGAAGGAAAACGGGTGGCAGGCAGTGCATCCCGAGTGTGAAAGGTGAGTAAAGGTTAAAAAAAGAGTCAAATTATATAAGTATAGAGTGTGTTAAAAAGTACTTATTCTATTTATGTATGAATCAATATCACACATTTATTCACTGTCCAGAGACAGAGAAAATAAAACACATCCCTCCGCCCCCGCCCACATCAGCTAAGCCATCAGCATCATCGGCAGCGCCCAGTGGCATCCGCAGACCATCGTGAGAAAAAAACCATCATTTGCCAATATAACTTCTTTAGTCTTTAAATTGTCCTGAACTTCATCTGACTCCATACTTCACTGGGCAACAGAGATAACCTTGATTTGCCAATTTACTACTTTTGTGAAGTTGCTGGGATTAAGTGAAGCCCAGAAGGACTGCCCACAGCATCCCTGGATGACAGTTCCAACGGGACTGAGGACAGAAGGGATGTCCCCATGAAGGAGTAGAAAGAAGCGATATTAGCTAGTGTGTTTGAGGTTACCGAGAGAAACTTCATACACACTTTGAGAACTTAGTAAATAATCAGTGATAAGTACTTGGAAACTAAGCAAATACAGGAAGCAATTGGTAACTCTAGGGGGAAAATAAAGTTTAACAAGAGGGAGAGAGCATTAGAGGTCTCTGTGTGGCCCCAGGTGGAGCAGAGCGGAAGCTGCGGGGTCGAGTCACGGCAGGACCGCTGCTCAGAAAGTTTCTTCCCCTCTGACTGAGGCTGAAAGTGCTGCGGACACTCAACCAAAGGAGGCACTATGCTTCCAGAAAAATCTCAAGTGAAAAAAATCACAAGCAACAGTAGTTGGATCAGGCTCCAAAGGAGAGGGCAGAGAGATTCAAACAGTTGGAGACCAAGTCCTTCCAGAACATGGAGTCACCAAAGTAGCTCTAGACAACCAGGATCATTTCTTATGCAGAGATGGCGACGATCTGGGAAAGGGTGTGAATCGCCATTGACACGGCATCGCATAAACCTGCTCATTCCATTGAAGTTCCGAAATCTTTCATCAAGTAGATAATTTCCACATCTCTTTTATAATAAACTAATGGAATCCAAACGGATGCCAGCCAGTGTCTCTTAAAATGTTTCACTGTACTGATACCAACATCTCCAGGAGGCTTCTGGTCAAGACAGCGGGTAGGTAAACACGGTCCTCCCTCCTCCCACAACCACATCAAAGTCACAACTAAACTATAGAACAACCATCATTCAAAACCTCCTGACATCAAGCTAATGGAAGTCCTACAACTACAGAATTAAAGAAGCAGCCACATGGAGACTGGTAGGAGGGGCGGAAGCGGACAGGCTGGTCCCACACCCACGTGTGGCGGAAAAAAATCAGGAGGACACCTCAGCTGGGAAGGTCCTTCCTGAGGACTGAGGGGTCCCCCTCCCACACCAGGTGCCCCGCTCAGGGTTCCAGTGCCAGGAACGGGAGTCCACATCACTTCTGGTTGTAAAAACCAGCGGGAACTGAGTCTTAGTTGCATGGACTTAGCACTGGGACGAGGGTGGAGGGACAGCTTTCCCCTGGACAGACGGCTGGCAGAGGCTGTTGTTCCTTTGGTGAGCCCTTCCCTGGGGCGGCAGACTGCAGCCATATCTGGGACTCCAGCAACTGTTGGCCCCGCCCTGGTGACTCCCTGAGGCCCCGCCACACCCAACTTTTGGGCCCACCCAAGCTGTTTCCATTGGCTTTATCATAGGATTGGCCTTTTTTGGCTCCTGCTTAATATTTTTCTAAATTCTCTCAAATAAGCAGCACCTAGTCTCAGTAAGCCCTGTACCTCTTCTGAAGTGGCCCCAGGCCTGGCACTAGAAGCAGACAGCCTTGGTTCACAGCTTGGCTTTTCCTGGGCACCTCCAAGACCAGCACAAGAAGCAGCCATCTGCAGATCACTGTGTAGCTTATGCCAGGTGGCCCTGGGTAGAACACAGGCAGAGGCTGACTTTGACCCAGAGCCAGCACACCCAGTGGACAGCTTCAGACCACATTGAAGCACCACCACCCAACCACCTCCACAAGTGACACACTTAATGAATGGACTCAGTGGGTACCAGAGCCCTGCTAAGTAAGTTTTGCTCTGTTTCATGGGCCCCTGCACAGTTGATTCTCCAGGATAGTTAGAGGTCAGTGGTCAGTGGGCACAGCCAGTCCTTGAAGCTGATCAGCCTGAGTAAATCCCTCCCATTGACGTGCCAGCAGCAATCCAACAGAAGGGTGTTCAGTCCATACGAGTGGTGCACCTTGAGAGCCCAGCTGGGTGACCAGGGAGGCTGTGCCACTGCGCCCTATAGGACACCTACTACAGTAGGTCACCCTAGGACACCCAGGAGACATAGCAACTCTACCTAATACATAGAAACAAACACAGGGAGGCAGCCAAAATGAGGAGACAAACAAACATGTCTTAAATGAAAAAACAGAACAAAACTCCAGGAAAATAACTAAACAAAATGGAGATAAGCAATCTAACAGATGCAGAGTTCAAAACACGGGTTATAAGGATGCTCAATGAACTTAGTGAGAATTTTAAGGAACTTCATGAGAACGTCAAGGAACTTAGTGAGGACTTCAAGAGCATAAAAAAGGACCAGTCAGAAATGAAGAATGCACTAACTGGAATAAAAAATAATTTACAGGGAACCAATAGTAGAGTAGGTGAAGCTGAGAATCAAACCATTGATTTGGAATATAAGGAAGCAAAAAACACCTAATCATAGCAGCAAAAAGAAAAAAGAATTTTTTTTTTTTTATCCTCACCCGAGGGCATTTTTCCATTTTTTGTTCAGGTAGAGAGGGAGGGAGAGAGAGGAACAGAGAGAGAGAGAGAGAAATATCGACGTGAAAGGAACACATCGAGTGGCTGCCACCGGCACGACCGACCAGGGCTGGGGACAAACTGCAACCGAGGTATGTGCCCTTAGCGGGAACCGAACCCGGGTCTTTCTGGACCGCAGGCCAACGCTCTAACCACTGAGCCAAACCAGCCATGGCAAATAAGAATTTTTTTATTAATTTATTTTGGTTACAGATGTTTCTCCCCTCCCCCACCATTGACACCCTCCTCCTCATCACCCCAAACCCTGTCCCAAGCTTTGTTGTCCATGTCCATCGGTTATGCATACATGCATATAAGTTCTGTGGTTTATTTTTTCCCTCCCCTCCGACGCCCTCTTCTGAGGATTGTCAGTCTGTACCCTACTTCCACGTCTCTGGGTCTACCCTGTTCCTCAGACTGTTATGTTCATTATATTCCAAAAATAAATGAGATCATGTGATATTTGTCTTTCTTTGCTTGGCTTGTTCTGCTTAAGATAATGATCTCCAGGTCCCTCTATGTCATGTCAAAGGATAAGAGATCTTTCTTTCTTACAGCTGAATAGTACTTCATTGTGTATATATTCCACAGCTTCTTTATCCATTTGTTTAGTGATGGACACTTGGGCTGTTTCCAGATCTTAGCTATTGTAAATAGTGCTGCTATGAACACGCAGGTACATATATTCTTCCTGATTGGTGTTTCAGACTTCTTAGGGTATATTCCTAGAAGTGGGATCACTGGGTCAAATGGAAGTTCAATTTTTAATTTTTTGAGATAACATCATAGTGTTTTCTACAGTGGCTGCACCAGTCTGCATCCCCACCAGTGGTGTACTAGAGTCCCCTTTTCTCCACACTCTCGCCAACACTTGTTGTTTGATGATTTGTTGATGGCGGCCATTCTGACAGGTGTGAGGTGATACCTCATTGTTGTTTTGTTTTTTTATCCTCACCCGAGGACATTTTACCATTTTTTGTTCAGATAGAGTGGGAGGGAGGAAGAGGAAGAGGGAGAGAGAGAGAGAGAGAGAGAGAGAGAGAGAGAGAGAGAGAGAGAAACATCAATGCAAATGGGACATATTGAGTGGCTGTCTCCTGCACGAATGACCCAACCAGGGCTGAGGACAATTGAGGTATGTGCCCTTAACAAGAACTGAACCCGGTTCTCTCTGGACAGAAGACTGATGCTCTAACTGCTGAGCCAAACTGGCCAGGGCCCTCGTTGTTGTTTTATTTTGCATCTCTCTGATGATTAGTGATGTTGAACATTTCTTCATATGTCTTTTGGCCATTTGTATGTCCTGTTTGGAGAGATGTCTGTTGAGCTCCTCTGCCCATTTTTTATTGGGTTCGTTGTCTTCCTTTGGTTGAGTTGTATGAGCACTCTATATATTTTGGAAATTAACCCCTTATCTGATGTATCTTTGGCAATTATGCTCTCCCATATAATGGATTCCCTTTCCATTTTGATGGTTGTTTCTTTTGCTGTGCAGAAGCTTTTTAGTTTGATGTAGTCCCGTGTGTTTTTTTCCTTTGTTTCTGTAGTCTTAGGTGATGTATCAGTGAAAATTCTGTTGCGTATGATGTCTGAAATTTTGTTGCCTACATTTTCTTCTATGATTTTTATGAATTCACAAGTCACAATTAAGTCTTTTATCCATTTTGAGTTTATTCTTGTGTATGGTGTAAGTTGATGGTCTAGTTGCTTTTTTTTTGCAGGTAGCTGTCCAGTTTTCCCAACACCATTTATTAAAGAGGCTGTCTTTACTCCATTGTATGCTCTTGCCACCTTTGTCAAATATTAATTGAGCATAATGTATTTGGTCAATTTCCACGTTCTCTGTTCTATTCCACTGGTCTATATGCCTGTTCTTGTGCCAGTACCAGGCTGTTTTGATTACAGTAGCTTTGTAGTATAACCTGATATCTGGTATTGTGACCCCACCTACTTCGTCCTTCTTTTTCAAGATTGCTGTGGCTATTCATGGTCTTGAACTTGTGAAGTATTTGTTCTAGTTCTGTGAAATATCTCATTGGTATTTTGATGGGAATTGTGTTGAATCTGTAGATTGCTTTGGGTAGTATGGATATTTTAATGATGTTAATTCTTCCAATCCATCGACAAGATACGTGCTTCCACTTTTTTATATCTTCCTCTATTTCTTTTTTCAATGTCCTGTAGTTTTCTGCAAATAGGTCCTTTACTTTTTTTGGTTAAGTTTATTCCTAGGTATCTTAATTTTTTTGCCGCAATGGTAAATGGAATTGGTTTTTTAGTTTCTCTTTCTGTGAGTTCATCATTGGTGTATAAGAATGCTGTCAATTTCTTGATGTTAATTTTGTATCCTGCTTCTTTGCCAAATTCATTTATTAAGTCTAGTAGATTTTTGATAAAGTCTTTTGGGTTTTCTACGTATAATA